CTTCCATCCATCTGCTTCCTCAGATGCTCATTTCAGGTTTTTACTACCTCAGAGAATGATGTCTCCAAGAACCACATTAAAATAGAAATTTGAGAACATATATAATTATGTTTAAGTGTAAGCTTAATCTACTCTTTCCTTATTAAAGATTGGCAAAATATATTCAATGCCTGTTACCTACATTGTATTTTTAGTATATAATTTTGACAATTATTGACCAATTCCTTTGATTTTTCTACTCCTGGTCATTTTAAACAATTGACTTCTAGAGACCTTTGTATGAGAGTCTCGGGTTGTATTTTTTCTGGACTTTTTCTTTTTCTGTTTGATGGGTTTTCCATTAAAAATAAAATCCTTTTCTTATTCCAGCCTCTCTTATTTTGCCTCTCAGTTATAAAAATTAAGGCATCTTCAGCCAGGCGTGGTGGCACATGCCTTTAATCCCAGCACTTGGGAGGCAGAGTCAGACAGATCTCTGTGAGTTCAAGGCCAGCCTGGTCTACATAGTGAGTTCCAGGATAGCTGGGGTTACATAGGGAGGCCCTGTCTCAAAAAGACCAAAAAAAAAAAAAAAAATTAAGGTATCTTCTAGAGCCTGTGCTGCTCCAAGAATCAGGAGCTACTGGGTAATTTAAGTTGATTCACATTCTGTAATTTCTGTACATTTAAAATGCCATCCAGTTTTTCAGCCCCATTGTGTTCTAACAAGAGACAAAAAGAGTTCAGACTTGAGCTCTTTCCTTTCTGCCTTCACAGAACTTTAGCAGGAACTACTCAACTGTCTTAAAACAAAAGTGAGATCTATGGTTGATTTTAGAAATGTTTCTGTAATTGGCCATTTTTTTGTTTTTGTTTTTGTTTTTTTTTCTTTTACTGTTTCATGTTTGATCCCAGTGAGTTCAAATGTATAAAATAAAACCATCACCATTTCCTGTATGATTCAACAAATGTATATTGAACACCCACTGGCTGTGTACTAAAGTATTTGTTATGGATACTAGGGTATAGAAACAATAGCAAATTATTAGAGGAAGAAAAATAAAGGAGAGGAAGGCACTGAGTCTGACCAAAGCAGGAAATATATTTTAGCCAAGGAATTTGGAAAAATGTTTCTAAGGATTTTCGTTTGAAGGGAGACTCAATTAAAGCCAGAAGGCAAGGTGTCTGGGCCTTGCAGATGTCTGGAGAGCATTCCAGGTGGAGGTAGGAGAGTGCCAAGCTTTTGCATGCTTCAGGAATAGAATGCACAGTCACCAAGACTGACAGGAAATGAGATCAGAGACGATCTGAGTGGTGATATACAGGATCTGAAATCATGATCAAGAGTTGATCCTTTTGAGTGAGATAAACATGTTGGAAGTATTCAAGGCAAGGTGTGACCTGAAAGCTAGTATGTATTTTAAAAAAGTTATTGCTGAATTGCTTTGGTACTACATAGATAGTGATTTAAACACCAATTAGTTCATGTTTCCTGTGGTTTAAGAGGGTCTGCTTAGTTGAGTTCTCTGCTCCAGGGTCTCACAAATTTAACATCAAGGTGTCACATTTGAAGCTTGGCCTTCTTCCAAGTTTATTCAGGTTGCTGGAAGAATTCACTTCTTAGAGGTCACAAGACTCTGTTTTTGGTTTTTGTTTATTTGCTTATCCTGGCTCTTAGTCTTGGTTGTTGGTTCCTAGGCATGTGATCTCTCACAGCCTGGTAGCTCACTTCTTCAAAGCCAGCAGGAGAATCTCTCACACTTAGAATCAATCTCTGATTTGTTGAGGAATTTTCAATTAGAAAATCACAGCAATGACTTCCTCATCACCTTTGCCATAGAAAATGATCCAATCAAGAAGTCACTGAAACGGGGAGAAAGAACATCCCCTAGCCGGTTCTTAGGCTCATTCACAAAAAATTTAAGAATGGACCCAAATGGAAGCGTTCACAATTTTATTAGAATTTTAAAGATAAATCCTTAGGGAAGGCGAGCTGGTGATCTTGGCAGCTGCCTTGGGGAGGAAAATAGAGGGGAGAAGGAAAGAAAGCCACGAAGCCATGCAAGTTTAGAGCCTACACAGAGGTCAGACACAAGGCTGACTGGCAGCCACATGGCTGGGAGAAGGAAGCTTTAGAGAAAGAGTAAAGAAATACAAGACTCTAGGGGCAGCCCAAAGAAAGTCTGCTTAGAAAAGGGATATGAAGTCATAAAAGGGGAAATTATGCTTTTCTGAAGAATTCAGAAAAGTGGGAAGACTTACAGAGACATGTCTGTGGCTGGATTGAGGAGTTCTGTGCTGAGAGGGGGGATTCCAGGCAGGAAGAGTTCACTATCTTATTAACGCAGGTATTCTGCCCATCTATTTAGCATAACTTCAAGTGAACCTGCCTTCCTAGGGGTGGCCCTATGACCAGATAATTGACCAGTGAAACTGGAAAGGTGGGTCTTCCAACAGACTAGAGATTTTATAGTGTTGACCAGTTAAACTTATGGGGCTATTTGCTACTCTTACAATTGTCCATTATAATCTCGGGTCCTACCCATCGTTAAGCAAAGGGAATGGCACAGGGTGTGCTGGGGAGAGGGAATTTGGAGGGCTGGATCATAATTTCACTTACTACATGAAAAACAGAATTGTGGAAGCAGCAAAAGATGCAGCTGTAGACTAGTCAGAAAGCATTAGAGATATATAAGCTGGTATAGCTCAAGAGTTTAGGTAGATTAATTTCCTAAGGACTGTATTCAGATGCAGGCCTGAATCAAGAGACTGTGGGGACCTGGTTCTCTGAATAATCTCTCTTCATCGGCTCCTTGTGGAGTACAAAAGTATAAGCCGTGATGATAGTGGCTTTTGTTAGAGTGGTGATAGTAGAGGTGAGAAATAGTCTAATTATGTATATATACACACACATATATATAATTATATGTATATAATTTTGAAGCAGAGCCAACATAGATTGCTGAAGAAGAAACTGAGACCTATCAGTAATTTCTAAGTTCAGAGGATGGCAAAACGTAAAAGGGTTTGCTTCAGAGCAGAGTTTCATCTTGAATACCCTAAGATCCAAGTAGAAAGGATCATGAATGCAATGGGAAGGGGTTGGCTTATGCAGCACCTGCAAGGCTATCAGGGGCTTGCAATTTCAAGCTTCTGTGCCTTCCAACTATATGATTCTTCCAAAGTGAAGTTGGAATTTATTGTACTGTATTTTAAAAAGCAACCAGTGAAAAGGACCTTATTGATTCATGAGGCAGCCTCTTTCTGCTTCTCTTACACTGGCATGACTAAAATAAGTAGCATTTTCTTGTCCCTGTGCCAAAGTTTCTTACAAATGAAATCAACATATCATTATTGAACTCATTAAAACTATTCCTAGAAGCCAAAGTATGCATCACTATGCATATTTAAAACACATAGTGCTCATCCACTTTCTAGGAATACAGCCAAACTTAAGAGTAAGTTTTCAGCACGATTGATTCTGGTAGAAGCCTCATTGCTATCCCAAGTGTATTACCTGCTTTCTCTAGACTGTACAGGCAGTTTCATGATGTGACTGATGATCCTTTCTTTCCAGAGATGTTTTGCAAATTAGGTTTGTCACATTATGAGAGGTGACCTTTCAAGCCAGCTTGTATGGAAGTTAGCCCTCGTCTTCCTTATCACAAGAATATGGTATAGACCGGGGTCATCCCAAAAGATGTCTATCATTTCCCCAAACCCAATTATGTGAACTCTTGGTTTTACTCAAATTTGTTTTGGGAAAGAAAAGCATTCAAAACTGAACACACCCTTCTACATGAACACAGCAATGAAGTTTAACCAGAGAAAAGTTCAAGATTTGGACTCAGTATTGCAAATAATTATAGCAGAGCTTTAACTAAAAAGAAAGTCCATTCCTAGCACTGCTTTGATACTGTTAATGTTGAATGAAGTAAGGATACAAGACAAGGTTCATGATTCCTGGTGGGAATGAAATAAAGGCTATTTAAGGTGTATTTGATTCAGAGAACTTTTCATTTTGTGGGGCAGGTGAAAATTCTCCACTGTACACAGAAATCTTTACTAGGAGTCTGTTTTGTTTCTTATATAATAAGACCTTGCTGTATGACCAGGAATAAAAGTATGAAGGAAGGAAGATATTTCAAGGATAGCTTGATGATTGTGTTTTAATAAATAAAACTTGGATAGATGGAAATAAAGCCAAGCCATTTGGTGGCAAGAGTGGCAGAAGATCTGTCCCCATGTACTGCTAAGGACACAAGAGTCACCTCCAGGCACCTGACCTTCTTTCAATCTGGAAGCCTGGGCAGGACTGTTTACCTTGTATAACATCTTGGCTTTCCGAAGATTTGGAAGGAAATAACAACTGAAACGTACTTCTGTTGAAGCCTATACTTGGCAGGGTTGTTCTGACGTCCGAAATAGCATTTCATATTAAAACCCAGAATTTTTTTTTTTTTTTTTTTTGGTCTTTTTGAGACAGGGTCTCCCTGTAGCCCCAGCTGTCCTGGAACTCACTATGTAGACCAGGCTGGCCTTGAACTCACAGGGATCCACCTGCCTCTGTCTCCCAAGTGCTGGGATTAAAGGTGTGTGCCACCATGCCTAGCAATTTCTTTTTTTTAATTTTATTTATTATTTTTATTTTATGTGTATGCGTGTATTGCCTGCATGTAGGTAAGTGCACCTGTGTCATGCAATGCCCATGGAGGACAGAAGAGGCTGTCAATCCCCTGGAACTGGAGTTATGGACAGTTGTTAGCAGCCATGTGGGTGCTGGGATTCAAACCATGGTCTTCTGCAAGTACAGTCGGTGTTCTTAACCACTGAGCCATCTCTCCAGCCCCAGAACCCAGAATTTCAACTAGGCATAATTGTTGTATGAGTTATTTCAAAACTATACCAATTTTTCCTATCATTGTATCTTTATGTGATATATTAACTGTTTGATAATATCAAAATTTAGCTTTTACATGGTAATTTAAGATACTAATTCCTTTATTCTTTCTTTCCCCTAGGAGCACTGAATCAAAAAAATTGGGGCAAGAAATATCCAACATGTAATAGCCCAAAGCAGTCTCCTATTAATATTGATGAAGATCTTACACAAGTGAATGTGAATCTTAAGAAACTGAAATTTCAGGGTTGGGAAAAAGTGTCTTTGGAAAACACATTCATCCACAACACTGGGAAAACAGGTGAAGTGGTTGTATTCTATTTGCTTTTACAGATTTTTCAAACCCAGAAAATGTTCATATGTTTCATTTTCCTTTGAATAGTGATCTAGTAACTGAGCAGAAGGTAATAGGAGAAGAGGCCAAATGGAACAGAGATTGGACTTTTAGACAACTTTTTGGAAATCTGTGCAAAATATGGACTTAACAATGTCATCCTGCTGTGTTTTCCAGTTGTCCAACAACAATGATCTTGCCACTGAAGATGTGGAAAAAATAATAAAATTATAGCAAATATCAACTCACAACTCAGTTACTGGTCAGACGTTTCATCAGAGTTCCATACCTTGGGCAGCAGCATTTGGTTTCGGCTTCATGCTGTTTCAAATATTAAATATAACATGAAATCAACAGCAATCAACTATAATTAAAATTTAAGAAGACGGGGGTTAGAGGTGGCTCAGCAGTCAAGGACCCAAGCTGCTCTTGAGGAGGACCCAGTTTTGGTTCCCAGCACACACATGGAGGCTAACAATTCTGCAACTATAGTAGTCCACAGGCCCTGCATGACAGGGGTGCATTTATATACATGTAGACAAAACGCTCATACACATAAAACAAAAATAAAAACATCTGTTTTATTTAGAAAGTTAAAAATTATAAACTCACCTTGGAAGGTATTATTAAATGCCTTTTTAAAGATAATTATTTTTCAAAACATGCAAAATATAACACCTTAATTTTTAAAATTCTGGTAAACCATATCTAGACATAATAACTTTCAGAATATGACACATTTACCTTTAGACTATTTTATTTAAACATGAAACTATATATCACATTAGTGAGTTGTATCAAGACAAATCTACATGTACAGCATAAATTAGAAAAAATATTCAAAATTATAATAGTAGCTCTATTAGTGTGGTTATATCATGAGCAAATTTCTCCTATTTTTCATATTTAGATAATATAATTAATAAATATAATGATTTACCTTCAAGTTTTATGAGAGAAAGGATTTTTTTTTGTATCAGTATCTGACATGTGATAAAATAAGCATTTAGTACCTGTTGAAAGAACGGCTGAGATAATTATGGTATATTACATTAGAAATTCATCCAAATCTTGACATTTTAAGAACAGTTTTGGAGACTGTTAAATGCTGGAAGACATACAATCACTGTTTTATTTCTTAATGTAACAGTTAAGCCTCTAGTCTTCTCAGTTAATCTATTGGGGTTTACTAGTGACCAAGTGGCAAATTGTTATTATTAACTTTGTGGTTGGCATTCTTATCATCTTAATTAATAGGGACATTTGTATCACTAGCTGGTAACTAATGTGCTAGATTCAATCACTGATGCCAACAGTGATATCTGCTGGTGGAGCAGGACTACTTAAATCTGATTGAGAGGCATAAAAATCCTTTTCTTTTGGTCATGTTTAGATTCTCTCCCATATCTGCCCCCCACCTTTTTTTATAACTTTCCCTTCACCAAATCTATCATCTGTCTATCATCTATCTATCTATCTATCTATCTATCTATCTATCTATCATCTATCTATCATCCATCCATCTATCATCTATCTATCCACCTATCTATTGAGAGAGTGAGAGAGAGTTAGGTTTGTGTCCCCAAATGCCCTTCAGTGGAGTCTGAATGCCCTAATCCACTGGAGTCTGGCCAACTCCCAAGAGTCTCTTCCTTCAGTGAGACTGAATCTCCCATTCCCAGCAGCCATTAGTTGTCAGTAGTCCCTCAAATAGGATTGGGTTTCTTACTCATTTCTCCAAGTCTGTGCTGAGATTTAGACATCAAAATCTTATACTAAGATCTCAAGAGAATCTTTATTCCTCTACTTATAAAATACAACTAGTGATACCTGTTCTAGGACTCAGGAAAATGTAAGATTCTAATAGTGACACTCAGGATTCAAACACAAAATAGCTAAAATCTCTTCTAGAAATAGGCTTCCCATCTACATTGCCTAAGACAATTTCTGGAGCTGGATGAAGACTAGACTGACAGGAGGGATAAGGAAATGCAACAAAAGAGGGTAGAAACAGTCAGGCAGCGAGGGGTAGGGGCACTCCCACGGGAAGACTTTTCTTCTTCTGGCCCTCTGTCCTGTCTCCCCTTACTTTGTCCCTTAATTACCATAAAGTACCTTGAGGAAACATGGCCTTGGAGGAATGGCAGTCTTAGGAGACCAAGCAGGCATATGGGCTGCTTGTCCTGAGGTGACTCAAAACAGTAGTCTTCTGTGTCGTTGATACTGATGGGGGAAAAGATATACTAAGTACCTTGCATGTGAGGGCAAGTTGAGCTTCCAAAATGACTTAAAAATTTTAAATTTATCAAGTCAGTTTCATAATGTATCTTAAATTGGAAATGTACTTAAAATTCATTATTTTGATTTTTAGAAACAGATGTAATTTTGTTTTCTGTTTTTATTTTAGTGGAAATTAATCTCACTAATGACTACCATCTCAGTGGAGGACTTTCAGAAATCATGTTCAAGGCGAACAAAATCACATTTCACTGGGGAAAATGTAACATGTCATCTGATGGGTCTGAGCACAGTTTAGAAGGACAGAAGTTCCCCCTGGAGGTGAGTCAGCAATTCCATTGCTTTTAATTTCATTTTCTAAATTATTGAGATTTTCTCAGGCATGTAATTTATTTTTTAGTTCAAAATGTGTAAGTCATGCAGTTGTGTTTTGAGAACTTAACATATGCTTTCTTTCCAAGGCTGCAAACTCAGTGAACATTAAGAACCATCCTTCATTTTCCACTCCTGGATTCCCAGAATGCTCCTTAGTAAATCAATAAATGTAGATGAGGAAATAAATGAGTAGAACAATAAAAAGAGAAATTTCATCAATATACAGCAGAATCCTTTTACTTAAATCCTTCGGTTAAATGAGAAAAATCTTAAGCTTTAAAACTAGAAAAACAATTTGAATTATGATAAATGATAAACATTTTCATATACATCTGAAGGAGTCTCTAAAGGGCCAGGCTTTCTGGAAATAGTTTTGGTTTTCATTAAAAATTTTAAATAGTTTTGTTGTCAATATTTTATGCTTTAGATTGTAGCAAAAATAATTATAAATATCCCCCAAAACTTATTTGTGAAGATTTACTTACAATAATGAAAACTGGAACAAGAGCTTGATTAACTACATTGTGATGGAATAGTACAGGTCTCCTAAAATCGTGTTTTGAGTGGTAGACTTAAAAAGCTTTCATGCTGAGGCTGGGAAGATGGCTGAGTGGATAATCCCAATGCTCCTATGGTAAAATGGGAGGGGGAGACCAGAGAATCCTTGGATGCTCATAGGCCAACAAGCCTGGCTTAAACAGCCCTGAACAGCAGAGACCCTGCCTCAAACAGGTGGAAGGCAATGATCAACATCCAAATTTTTCCTTTCATCTCTACACCCACACATGGCACATATGCACCCTCCTCACACACACACATCATATACATACTACCACAACACACAAAAAAACTTTATCCTATTTCATTTTAAAATAATAGTTGTGGTTATTTGAATGACAATACCTTCCTTAGGTGCCAATAATTTGGACATTTTGTCCCCAGTTGGTGGCACTGTTTTGGGAGGTTTTTAGGAGGTGTGGCCTTGCTGGAGGAAGTACATTATTAGGGGTGGGCTTTGAGCATTCTTAAGCCTTGATAGATCTCCAGTCACTCCTTATTTCCTGTGCCTGATTAAAGATGTGATCACTCAGCTTTCTGCTCTAGCCACCTCTGCCACCATGTCTCCTTTACCATTGTGAACTCTAATCCCTCTGGAACCATAAGCCAAATAAGCTCTTCCTTGAATAAGTTGCCTTGTTCATGGTGTCTTGCACAGTGACAGAAAAGTGACTAATACAGAAGTTGGTGCCAGGAGGATGTGTTGCCGCTGTGAAAAACCTGACCATAACAGTTTTTAGAAGAATGTGGAAGACTTTGAGAGTTTGGACAAGAAAAGCAGTTGAATGCTGTAAACAGAACTTAATGTGTCATTATAGTTGGAGCCTGGAAGAAAGTGGTGCTGAGAGCAAAGTAGTACCAGAGGGAAATAAGAACTTAAGCAGAAACTGGAATATTTTGGCACAGCATCTGGCTACAGTGTGCCCATGCCCCAAGAGCTTGCTTGAAACTAAGTTGAAAAGTAATTGATAGGTAGAGAGCGCGAGTGTGCGGATGGAGGATGGAGGAGGCACCGAGGCACAGATAGAATTCTCAGCGGGATACAGCTTTATTTCACACAGGACACGTTTCCCTCAGGGAAGGGAAAGATGGAAGGGCAGGGAAGGGAAAGATGTCAGGGAAAGATGTCAGCCCACGGGCTGTGAGCTGGGACTTTATGTATGGGGGCGTTAGGGTGTAGAAGGGGGAATGTTTGAGGGAGAAATCAGGGAGGGGGAAGCAGGAAAAGCAGGTAGGATTAGGATCTGGAAGTGTTTACTTTTTCCCTCTTAAGATAAGAGAAAAGCTGTTGTGATAAACAACTTCTAAAATCTCCGGTTATCAGGTAGAATCTGCTTATCTTATCTTTGGAGATCAGAGGAAAGGCAGGCTGCTTCTCAGCAGAGTTTGTTTCCCTTGACTTCAAAGGTCAAGGTGAGGTCCCTGTTGGGGAGGGGGGAAAGTGCTGCTGCTTGGAACTCTAACAGTAATGGACTAATTTCTTTGGCGGGGGAAATTTCGTGACAGCCTAACATAGAAATGGTGTTGTGGCTACTAATGATGAATATTTTGGAGATCTACAGTGGAAATAGAGCAAGTGGGGCGAAATGCAGTTTGGATTGAAAAACAGTGCTAGGAAGCTTAATGTTGGAACCAAGGACTGTGCTGAAGGAGAAGCTCTCTTTGATAAAGAGATTAGAGCCATTAAGGAAAGACCACTAGATTTGCAATTGAACAATGAATGGAAGGAGTACCCTCAGGGCAAGACCACACTCAGCTAAGCCTCCAACTTGTGAAAGGAAAAAGCTTCAGGAGGTTCCTGCTCCTAGAAAACCATTGTGGACAAAAGCTGCTGGTAATGTGGATGAAGTGGGCCAGCTTCCATCCTAGGCTGGCAGCCCAACTTGGCAGTGTCCATGTGGTACTGGCTTTAGAGGTATGAAAGATGCAAGACTGAAGGGGTCATTGACTCTTCCTATGTGATTTCAAAGAGTTGCTGAAGACAGGCAGCATACAGCAGGGTGTCCCTGCATAAAGAAAGCCTTGGTCGGTAAAGAGGCCCTGAGAGGCCACTGCATGAAGCAGTGAAGATGAAGCCTCATTGGCAAAGGAAACCACAAGATGTTTGAGATGCCTGGGCCTTGAGAAACCTGCCAAAAAGAGCTGCATACAGGGAGTGGTACTAGCCCAAGAGAGAGAGATATGTTATGTTCAGCAAAGCTGAAGGGACTGAGCTATCTAAGCCCTTTGGAAGTAAAAGTCCTAGAAGTCAGACGTGAAGCTACTGGATTTGGTGTTTGCCTTGCTGGCCTTTAGCCTTGTTTTCATCTAGAATTTCCTCAGGATTTACAGTTAAGAGATTCACTTTCAATGGTTCTCAGGAGAGACTTTGAACTCTGGACTTTTGAATAGTATTGAGACTGGTAAAGACTATAGAAACTTTTGAAGGTAGACTAAATGTATTTTGCATTTTATACGGTCATGAGCCTATAGGTGTTGTACCCCATCCACTGGACCCCAAAAAGACCACCAAGGACCCAACACACCAAAATGCAAAAGCAAAGGTTTATGGTTTATTCGGGCTTAAGCAGGCTCTCAGACCTCACCAACTCAATGGATCCATGCTGAGAGCCCAGAGTAAGGGAGAGTGGAGCCTTTTATAGGTTTTAGACAAAAGGGGGGGTGGAGATACCGAAGATAAATTTTGATTGGTTCAAAGAGCCCACGCGCGCCAATATAATTTTAAACCGATTGGATGTATAAGATGCAGCCCTGGAAGTTTCTTATTGGTAGGTGCTATTCTCAGGACTGTGGAATGTGCTGACTGTTACCTGTGGGGCCAGGAGTCTCTGTTTTTACCTTATAGGGCAGTTTTATGCTTGGCCTTGCTTAATCTATAGTTTCCTGGAAGGGGGGGTGGGGAATAGCAGGCGGGTGGTCAGGGCATGCCAGGGTATGTCTAGGCATGTCTAAAGTAGCAGCCAAGCATTTTACAGAAGCTAAAAGAGCCATTAGTGGGGGTCTGGAGGGATTGGGGGGTAGCGGGTGAATGAAGAGGGTCTCAGGGTTCTACATAGGTAGTACTCACTGTCCTAGTATTTCCTTCCAAGTTCAAGGATGACAAATGATAGCAGATTTAGTTATGTATATGTGTAGTTAAGAAATTATTTGGAATAATATACAGAATATAGACTTGTACAGTCTGTATAAATTTTCAAATAGAACTTATTGAATTGGTTAGCTGTCTCATAAATCTCTTCTGACTTCTCTGAAGCATTTTTATGTAATAAAACTGTCATTACATTTACAGATGCAAATCTACTGCTTTGATGCGGACCAATTTTCCAGTTTTGAGGAAGCAGTTAAAGGAAAAGGGAGGTTAAGAGCTTTATCCATTTTATTTGAGGTAATTGTTATACATAGATTTACAACTAAACTAATCTCCTTTTTAATCATGTGAAATATCGATATTAAGTGTCAATATAAACACTTTTACAAATTGAAGAGGTCACAACCACGATACTAACTGGTAGTCATTTTCAAATATGGTTACCCTTGGCTGGTATGCTTAAAAGGGGACTTATATCCATTCATTGAATAAGTTTCTTCCAGCTGGAGCAAATAGTTCTAAGTACACAGATTTGCCCACCTGCCCATACAAAGTGTCCTAATTCCATAGTAGTAACTGCAAATCACAATATTTTTAACTTTACTTTTCTTGGTGGAAAATGTGAGTTACTTGATTTTTCCTTGTTTTGTTCTTACCTTGCTGTGGGGGGGGGTGTTCAGAACTTACTATTCTTTATACTTAAATTGGAATTCATTGTTGTACAGTCAGTTGCTGGATTCTATTTTGAGAATGCCATTCTTCTTTAACAGGTTGGAATAGAAGACAATTTGGAGTACAAAGCAATTACTGATGGAATAGAGAGTGTTAGTCGTTTTGGTAAGCTCCTAAGAAAAAGCATTTTTCAGGATTTGAATACATATGATTATTTACAATGTGACCAAAAACACTTGTTCCAAAAGGTGGGAAGGGATATGTTATAAGAAGGAGGAGTATCTTATTTCTCATATAAAGGACAATTTAAGAGAGAATTTTGTGGTATAAAAATTATAAAAGACAAGGGGTTGGGGATTTAGCTCAGTGGTAGAGTGCTTGTCTAGCAAGCACAAGGCCCTGGGATCAGTCCTCAGCTCCAAAAAAAAAGTAATAAAAAATTATAAAAGACTAGGCATGATCATACAAGCCTTTAATTCCAGAACTTGGGAGGCTGAGGCAGGTGGATCTCTGTGAGTTCAGTCCAGCCAGCCAGAGCTACACATGAAACACTGTGTCTAATTAATTAATTAGTTTGTTAATTAATTAATTAAAATTTAAAATACATGAATTATCAGTGTAAATAGGAGTCTAAGTAGAAATCTGAATTAGATTATTCTTTAAAATAATCTAATTGCATTGTGCTTTTAAAACATTTACATAATTCTGATTCTGCATTGTGCATCACATTAAGGATTCTATATGAAACCAGTTAATCTTACAAAAATCAAATTATGAAGTGCAAAAGGAATTTCTACTCCAGTTAAAAAAATTTTCCTTGATGGTTTTCTTGATAAATCCTCTGTTTCACCAATGTGCAGAGGTAAGATATTTGCAAGAAGGTGCGTGCTTACATAGAACAGGATCAGCATGCTTTCCATTGTTCTGTCTGCTGTCATGTGGGTCTTGTAATTTGTCACAGTAAATGCTTTTGACAGCATTGGCAACAGATCCCAAACCTGTTACTGATATTTTTACTTTTATGAAGTTCCCACACAAGCAATAATAATGTTCCTTTGAGTTGTCAGTTAAGTGAGGATTATTCCTGTCTTTTGGAAGCCACAAAATTTGAATTCAGAAACAAGGCTCTTACAGATCCTTTTCTTGAAAGCAGAAGCCTAGTCTAGGATTGATTTATCTTTGGCAGTTACATTTCAGGATCTGAATTGAGCAAACGTTTCAAAAGTCAGAAATATGTGAACTCTTGTAGGGAAGCTTTCTTCTTTTCATTCTTCAGGTTCTTTCCTTCCTTCCTTCCTTCCTTCCTTCCTTCCTTCCTTCCTTCCTTCCTTCCCTCCTCTTCCTCCTTTAAGGTGTAATCAAAAGCAAGATCAAGCTGGTATCTCCCTTAGTCCACCTAGATGCAAAACTGGATATTGAATGCTACAAGTCACACTTAAATTTTTCTTAAGTCAGAATGCAGATGCTGTCCAGAAGGAAGGAAAGCATGAAGGTTAACGTTCAACACTTAAACTTGTATAAAATATGAATTTGTAATGTTTCTGTGCCTTGCATCAGCCTATGGGGAAAAGAGAAAGGGATGTGAATACCTGGCTCTTAATCTTTGGCTTGTGAAGCTGTTGAATTCTCTCCATTTTCTTCCAATGTCTCTTGAGGTTTTTGGGGGGTGCTCCTAAGATTGAATTTATTTTGTTCCTTCACTAAGGTTTCTGGTCTTGTTGATTTTGTTCCTGTTGTTTTTTATTGTTCTTGGGGTGGTGGTAGTAATGGTTTTTATCTTTTTTTAAAATCTTTTTGAGACAGGGTCTCTCTATAGCCTCAGCTGGCTTGGAACTCACTATATAGACCAGACTGGCCTCAATCTCACAGGGATTAAAGGCAGGCACCACCACACCTGGTTTAGGTTTCAGTTTTAATACTTCCTGTCTGCAAATCACAGAGGACCATGCTTCACCACAGCTACTGCCCCCACATAGCACCTTCCCTGAGAACATCGATTTCCCCAACAGCATCTTTCCCTAGATTCTGACTCTGCATTTGAAAGCAGAAGGAATAGTGTCTAGAGTGGCTGGAGATAAGATACTAGTCTGCTGTCTGTCTGCTGTCCGTTTTTTGTCTTTCTGTTCAGGTTACAATTTCTACCTCCTTTTTACCACAACCCCAAACCATCCATGTTGCTAAAATTCCTTCTAGGGGAGAGTGTAAACAATGTTCTCCCCTCCTCCCTTGGTCCCAACAACAAACTAAACCGTCCCACCTAAATGTACTCTGGGAAGCCAGTAATTTTATTGGGCTTAGCAGTGGGTGTGGATTTACTTACAACGAGTATGGGTGCTCCCAACTTGAGGTGGCACCAAAAAAATCTTCACCCAAGCGTGGATGATGACTTTCTCACACAAAATTTAGTCTCCTCCAACCTATACACTGCAGCCCTTCCCCCAGGCCATGTGCAATTAGGGCCAAATTGCTCCTCATGGGTTGGGAGGTGTGACTGAATACTCAGGTGATGGTCAGGTGACTCTTCCTGCCCCTCCTTCTATGTGGGGTATGAAAAGTCAAGCCCAGCTGTGAAGATCTTTGGCCAGCTGGCACAGCTGAATTCAAGAAGATGGTGTCTGTCTGACTTGGAGGATAGTCCAGCACAACAATCTATGTATTATCAACTCCCTAACCTGATATTTAATACTTTGGTAGCAACATCAAGGACATGAAGGTCAGTTCCTGGGTGGTAGCATCAAGATTTACATCCCCATCTGTTCACAAGTTTGTGTCATAATATTAAAGAGATGTTTATTAGTAATGTTTCAGAGTATATATGAAATACTTGCCAATTTGATTTGAATGCTTGTCAGATATAATTTACCTAAAATAAGTAAGTTAAATCCTTCTAAAGTTAAACATTTTTATTTTAATAGTTCTGGAATTAAATCTGGTCATATTTCAGAGTCTAGAAAGTCCCTTAGTGCCCAGGAAACAGAACTTCCCAATTTTACCTGCTAGCTATTATTATAGGAAATTTTGAGGAGGGAAGGTAGTTCTTACCCTTAAACAAAAGGATTATGGAACTGCACTCAGACTGCCAAATCATGCTCCATGTTCTCCGTGTAAGTAAAGTTGTAAAAATAAATACTACAAAAATTCAGAATGTAAAATCTCATATTTTAATGTGGACTGGTCACTCATTTCATATGTTCCTCTCTGAAAGACCAACTCCATTTCTCTTTCATCGCCTCTTCTTTTTCTTCCTTCTACCATACCTCTTCTATGTTGGGCATTGTTCTATCTGTGGGGTAGGGAAAGAAGTGGGGACTTGGCAATGAAACAAAAAATGAAATATCAGTAGTCCCCGAGTAGACGAAAAGAGAAAGGAGTACTATTAGTGAAGTCTTCTGGTTACAAAGAGAAACATCCAGGTTACAGTATCAGTGATTCTCAAATGGAAGGTCACATCAGAATGACGTCTAGTGCTGCTTAATTGCATACACAGCTCAGGATTTTGTATATTGAAAAATCTTCACAGGAAGTTTTGATGTCGCCCCTTAAATATCATTGTCCTGAGTAATAGTTGGTTTTAAGTACCTAGCAGGGCTTCCCCAGGGCTTGGCTCCATTGATGTTCATTTCCTCGTCACTCTCCCTTCCCATCTTTCTTCTCATTATCAACCTCCCCCTGGAAGGATCTGACAAGCTGGCTAGCTGATCATCTATGTTTAAGGGATTAATGATTGCAAAATGAGCAACTGGCCTCCAGTGGGTACTGCTGGCCCAGGGGTGATTTTTTTTTATATGTAAATTCAGATCAAGTTTGTGGATTATTTTCCAAGTCACAGAACACTACCGTATTCCAGTTTCCTCAGCAAATGTTGGCATAATAGAAAAACAATACTGTAACTGAAAAGTCATGTGCTGTCTAAGCCAGAAATTTAGGACAATCATGTAAATACCAGCAGCAGCAAACAGCATAAAACTTGTTAACACATTTGTCAGTGAGAGAAGATGAGTTTAGAAAAGGAAGGTTCAAATTGGTATTAAAGAGGAAAATAAAAATTCTTTTTCTTCTTTTGTAACTTAATCTTCTTTCCATTTAGTTTTTGCCCACATTCTAAGAAAACTCTATGCTCCACATCTCCACAGAGGTCTCAAACCATTTCCCTACCTTCCCTGCTTCTAGCTCTTCTGGAATCAATTAATTTCCTCCTCTGTAGGAGGGTGTCAATTTCTGCCTCTTTATGTAAGTAGCATATCTGATACTTACATTTCCACAAGACCTATATAAGATAATTTTGTCTTTAGCAGGAAAAAAATTTTTTTCAATCAATTGATGATTCAGGAAGAGGTTATCTGTGGTTGTTTGAATAAGAATATCCCCCATAGGTTTCAAGTATTTGAATACTTGGTCACATTTGGTGGCATTGTTTGGAGACAGTCATAGAACCTTTTGGATGTGTAGCCATGCTGGAGAAAGTACACCACTGGGGGTGGGCTTTGAGAGCTCTTAAGCCTTGCCAGATTTCTGGTTTCCCCCTGCTCTCTGAACCTGCTTGAAGATGTGCTCATTCAGCTTTCTGCTCCAGCCATTTCACTTCCCCAGCCACCAGGATGGACTCTTATCCCTCCGGAACCATAAGCCAAATAAAATCTTCCTTCTGTAAATTTCCTTGGTTATGATATCTTATCACAGTAACAGAAAAGTAACTAATTTAAAAATTGATACCAGGTATGGGTGGGGCTGTGAAGAATCTGACCATGATTTGGGGAGGTATGTGGAAAACTTTGGAAGTTTGTAGTAGAAAAGGAGTTGAATGTGATAGTTAAAAAGTTGGCAGAGAACAAGCGAATGGATGATGAGGCACCGAGGCACAGATAAAACTCCATCAAAATAGTGTTTATTAGCAAAGGAACACATGGGACAGATTCCCTTCCGGGCATGGAAAATGTCTGCCCATGTCTTGAGCTGGGGTCTTTTAAAAGGGAGGCTTCTGCTTCCTGCAGAAGGCAGGAAGATGTATTTTTTTTAAAGTTGGGGGGGAAGTGGGAGAGCGGGATCGTTAAAACCTGTCCTCTTTAGAGATCAACCGGGAAGCCTGCTGTGTTGGCCAAACAGTGGAGAAAAGTCTGCTTCTCCTGACTTCAAAGACCAAGGTGCTTATCAGCTAGGTTCCCTTTTCTCAGGAGCATTAGAAGTCCTTGGGATCATGTTGGCGAGGGGCAGGGCTATCTGAACCTTAACAGAATGCTCTAAACGAAGCTTAATTGGTCATTCCAGAAGGATCCTGGAAGAAAGTAGTGCTGAGAGCAAGGTAGATCCAGAGGAATAAAAGGACTTAAACAACAACTGGGATATTTTGGCAAAGCATCTGGCTGTAGTTTGCCCATAGGCTAAGCACATGCCTGAGGTTAAGTTGAAAAGTAATTGGACTAACTTATTTGGCAGAGGAAATTTCAAGACATTCTGATGTGGAAATGGTGGCTTGGTTATTAATGGTGAATATTATACAGATGTACAGTGAACATGAGCAATGGCACAGAGGAAAATGCGGACTGTAGTTTGGGGAGAAAAGGAATACTGTGAAGCTTAATGTTGGCATCAAAGCCTGTGCTGAAGGAGAAGCTCTCTTTGATAAGGAGAGTAGAGCAATTAAGGAGAGGCCTCCAGATTTACACTTGAATAATAGAAGACTTATGAAAGGAAAAGGCCTAAGGAATTACCTACTTTTAGAAAACCACAAGTATGAAAGTTGCTGATAATGTGGAAGAAGTGGGCCAAGATCGTTCCCAAACTGGCAGCCAAACTTGACAGTGACTTGGTGCTGACTTTAGAGGCAAGAAGAATGCAAGAAGAGGGGGTTCATCAGCTCTTCCTCAGCAGTTTCAGAGAACTGTGGAGTCCAGGAAGCATGCATCAGGGGTGTTACAGAATAAAGAAGGCCCTGACAGGCCAAGAAGTCCTGAGATGCCATTGTGTGAAGCTGTAAAGGTGAAGCCTGGCTGGCAATGGAGACCCCCAAATGTTGAAAGTTCCAGAGCTGTGAGACACCTGCCAAGGAGCACGGCATACAGGAAATGGTGCCAGCACAAGAAAGAGATGTATGTTACATGCAGTGAAGCTGGATGGACTAAGTTATCTAAGCCCTTTGGAAATAAGGTCCCAGACATCAGAAATGGAACTAGTGGATTTGGTATTTTCCCTCCTGGTTTTGGGCTTGCTTGGTTCAGTGTTTCTTTAGTATGACTCTATTTATCCCTTTTGGAATGAGAATGTGCACTTGGTTCCACTGCATATTGGAAGCATATAGTTTGATTTTTGCTGGGGACTTACAGGTAAGAGAGTGCCTTAATTCTCAGAAGAGACTTTGGACATTTGGATATTGTTGAGACTGTTAAAGACTTTTGAAATTGGACTAAATGCACTTTGCATTGTATGGTCATGAGCCTATGGGAGCCAGAAAGTGAAATGTGGTGGTTGAATGAGAATGTCCCCCATATGCTCCAAGTATTTGAGCACTTGATCTCCATTTGGTGGTGGTGTTTGGGGAGGATTGTAGAACATTTAGGAAGTGTGGCCATGATGAAAGAAGCATGTCAGTGGGGGAAGGCTTTGAGAGTTCTTAAGTCTTGCTGGATTTCTACTTTCTCCTTGTTCCTACTTGAAGATGTAATTGCTCAGCTTTCTGCCCTGGCTACCTCCTGCCACCATGCCCCCCAACTACCATGATGGGGTCTTATCCCTTTGAAACCATAAGCCAAATAAATTCTTCATTCCATAAGTTGCCTTTGTCATGATGCTTTATCACAGCAATAGGAAAGTGACTAATGTATTATCTATGAAAATTTCAGATATTCACTGAATATAATGGCATACATAATGACTCCCAGTACTGAGGAGTCAGAGGCTGGCACACATAATTAATCCCAGTACTTGGGAGACAGAGATAGGCAGATCTCGGTGAGATAGAAGTCAACCTGGTCTATATAGTGAGTTCCAGGTCATCTGGGGCTATAGGGAGACCCGGTCCCCAAACAAAACAAGCAAAAAACTAAAACAGTCCCCTCAAATTCAAATATTAAAAATAGGAATCTGAACCTGGAAAAATTCATAGACTAAAAAGAAATACGTGTTTCTTGAGAACTTTAATCATAATCTGAATTCTGATAAGCTTATTCTGACTCTGATTTTGGACATATTGTAGAAGTTGCTAGTCCTTAAGCCAAACAAAACTTGAACTTTCTAATGGGTTAAAATGGGATTTACGGTGATCCACAGGACACTATTAGTTCAGCCACATAGGTTTCTATTTCTAATATTCAACTTTTAACTCAAGCTGTAACCACTTAGCTCTAGTTTTAATTATTAGTAGCACCTGTAAATAGTGTGATACAAAAGGTGAATATTCTGAAAAGCTTCATGTTAACCCTGGCTACATATCTGAGTCACCTGGTTATACTTTTTGAAAATACATATGGTCCACTCCTGTAAATTTTATTTCTGATGATGTAGATTCTGTCACATTGATAGAATATTTTTTTCTTGATTTATATGTTCTCCCTATAGCCTCAGCTGGCCTGGAACTTGTTATGTAGACCAGGCTGACCTCAATCTTACAGATCATGCCACCAGACCCCACATCATTGGTATTCTTGTAAAGATCCCCAGGTCATTTTAATAAGGTACCACCTCACTTAGACTAAATTGGCTTCAGGAACTATTGTGTAATGGCCTCAATCTCTCAGACAGGGAAAAGAATATGCACTGGACTGGGGAGGTGTAAGAATGAGAAAATGAGAAAGATCTAGCTAGTCAGCAAATTGCTGCCTGTATGCATAATGGCAGGGCAGAAAGAGCTAGATGGTCAAGTCAGCACTGTTGACAAGCACTGTTGGAAAGATACAAAAGTAAAATGAACCCACAATTGTGTAGGAATTCTATAATCTGGATACAAGTTAATTTACAAGAATAGATATGCACAAGTAAATACAGGAGCAGTCTGTACATAAATATAAATGTGTATATGTATATTGTATTCAGAATATATTTCCTATTCTTTGATTTTCCCTTTTACTGTCTTAAAATTTATACTGTCTTCATACTTTTTAATTTTGTTTTCATTTTTAAAATACTTTAAATTCATTATTCTTAAAATTTTTATATGTATGAGTGTTTTGCCTGCATGTAAGCGTATACTGTGTATGTGTGTGAAATGCTCATGGAAGTCAGAAGAGAATATCAGATCTCAAGGAATTGGAATTATGGATGGTTGTAACCACCATGTGGGTGCCAGGAGCCTAACCCAGTTTCTCTGCAAGAACAGCCAGTGCTCTGAACTGCTGAGGTGTCTCTCCAGCCCCTTGTTCACATTTTAAGACAGGATCTCATGAAGTCCAGGCTGATCTCAAACTCACTTTGTAGTTGAGGATAACCTTGAGCACCTAATTTTCTTGCCTCCTCCTCCTAAGTGCACACTGGTTTCATATGGTGCTGGGAATTGAATCCAGGGCCTCATGCATTCTAGGCAAGCACTCCACCAACTGAACTAGAGCTTCATTCCTAAATAGTGACTCTTCATACATAGTGCTTGATTGTGGCTTCCTAGAGTTTAACATTTTTCTTTTCATGAGCAACTCTTGAATGATAACAGAAATTTTGACTATGAAAAGATAACTTTGTTTTCTTCTAGAAGTATCTATTTACTTTTAAATCTATAATCTTTCTAAAATTGGCTATTACTTGTAATCCAAAATAAAGAGTCAAAGATGAGGGTGTAGCTCAGTGACACTGTGCATTCTTGGTTTGCATGAGGCATTGGGTTTAGTCCTTTGCACTCCAGGATGAAGGAAGAAAATAAGGAATAAATAAAATTGGGAGTCAAAATTCACTTTCTTCCTCAAGGATAGGTAGTCAATACAGTGTTATTTATTGAAAAGTCCATCAGTTCCACCCCACCTGCTAATATTTCAGTTATAAATCAAGTGATGATGATTGTGGAGTCTGTGCCTCTGTTTGTCTCACATGCACACATACAGAGACACACACACATGCACGCACCCACACACTCACACCCTTTTTTGGGACTTTGATTAAGAGTTTATTGAAACTATAAATCAACTTGGGGAAAATAACTCCTACAATATAGAATTTTCAAACCAGTGACATGGTACTTCCCACCTTTTCAAATGGTTTTGTTTCATTCTCTCTGGAATATATATGATATACTTTATGTACCATTATCAGATCTGCTTGTATTTGATATTTTGTTGCTCTTTTAAACCATGTTGCTTTAAATTTTATATTTCTGTTGTTTGATACCAGTACGTAGAAACATCATTGACTTCTCCTTATATAGCTGTTGTGAAAGTGACTTTGCAAAATTCATTTATTATGTCTAATAGTCTATAAATTCTGTTCAGTATTTCACATGCACAACCATGCTATATGCAAACTGCCATTGTCTTATTTATTCCTATACAATATTTATAGTTTTGTGGGATTTTTTGAGACTGTCTCACTAAGTAACCAATGCTGTCCTCACTAAGTAACCAAGGCTGGCCTCCAACTCAGGATCCTCCTGTCTCAGCCTCCCAAGTTCTGGGAATACAGGCATGTGTCAGCATAATTAAAACAGTTTTGTTTTTTTTTCCTTAAAAGCATACTTAATGCATTTCCTTTGTGTTTAATACCAAATAAAAGTGATGCTAATGGAACATCTTGTGTCATTCTTAATTTCAGGGAAAGCTTTCACCAAGTCACCCTTAAATATGACACAAATATGTAGCTGTTATCTATTAAAATAATCATATGTTTTTTTAATATGAAATGTTCTTTGAAGCATTATGTTGCAAGATAAAATATCTAATATATAATGATATACTTCAG